CCAGGAATTTGGACACATAAGGAGGAGGCTTCAGGAGGGAACGTGAATCAGCACTGTTTATCATATCCTTAGCAGTTTATTATTGCAGACATCAGAAATTCGTGTTCTTTAGTGAGTAAATGCATTTACATAAACAGGCTTCTAGATCTGGGACACATAATACCATTAGTGCCAGCAGAGTTACAGCCAGAAGAAAGCATACAACATATGGCCCCAATTTGCAGACTGTTACTGAGAAAGGAGAGAAGACACCTACATGGAGAGATGCTTTATTTTTGTCTGACACAGAATAACTTACTCAAAACACAGTTAGTCAAAAGCTTTCAGTGTGGCTTTCAAAACTTAATTAGAAGAGTTCTCATTTGCACAGTCCTCAAATGAGTTATCATTAACTTCATAAAAATAGTTTGTAACTTTCCAAATTGATGCAAAATGACTGGTGTCTACTTCTTCACAGAGAAATTCATACCGTTCCAAAAACAGCAACACCTTTTGTTGAACTCCCAAATGGACCAGGCTTTGAACTAAACATGTGTATTGCACACATTTAAAAATTTAAAGCATCCTATAGAGAGGGCACAATTTCTACTATTTTATAGCAAAGAAAGAGCAGGCTAATAAGCTACTATTAAAAGGCTACCCTGCTGTTAAAACAGTGATGTAAAAGTTGAACCTATTTACATCAACTATCCATGTGAAAGTTTTTATCACTACATTGCTCCCCTGGATTCAGTGTGATAAAGACTTGTAGAAAATAATGGAGCAAAAAGGGTTAAGTGAGGTAGGAATGAGAAGACAGGGTGGAGAAAGGGATAACCTTAAAAACCTTTGGAAAAGCTAAATGCAAACCCACTACTGTAGAATGTTCCTAAAATGCATACAAATATATGGGAAGAGTTATCCTATAATGAGGAGAAAATTTCTCTTGCAGACATATCTAGGCTAGAAAATAAAGGCATAAGAATAGAAGTAGGTTATTGCTTCTGGAGTTGTTGGTCATTGGGGTCCCCTAGACCCTAAAATATTACAGGTATTACCATTACTCTGGTCACCATCTAGAACTTGATAGTATGAATCTATTGTTAAAGAGGCATAGAACATGGAGAAATCAAGCTAGTACTGACCTAGAAGCCTTGTCCCTATTGGCTAGCTTTCACAGTGACAGGGGTGCTATGTATGTTATGTGTGATGTTCAGAAGAAAAGCAATCACCAGTCTTACCCATCTGTGAGCCCTAAATGCTACATAATGGCCACCCTGGCAAACACATGCCCACAGATGCAATAGTGGCACAGGTATTATAGGTGTAACCAACCTTTTATCTGACTGGATTTATGGTTCACTTCATAATATGGAACTTAAGCCTGGCACTGGGGTCAAGAACCCAAGGCTCAGGTATATCATAGGACCTAGGGAAGAACCTATTACTATTATTCTTCTAAATGAACTTATTTAACAAATTCTCGAAAGACAAATCCTTATACCCATAGATGAGAACATCTGATCAGAGAAGCTTCTTTTGTAGTAGATGGTGATGAGCACAGAAACTCACAATATATAGAGAATAAGGAAGGTATGGCAGACTGCTCAGACCTAAATGAGATATCTATATCACACTATCTTATCCCAAGTCTCAGAAATCATTTCAGAAGAGGGAAAACAGTAAGAATTTAAGAAGCAGAGGCAGTGGAGAACTACAGATAAATAGTGTTTGCTGGGTATCACTGATATGAGAGGGAGACTCGGCTTTATTCAGTAATGTGGCCCATGAGGAGAATACAATCATGAGGACAGGTTACATGGAAGTGTGGAGAAAGGCAATATAGTGTTCACCATGTCATAGGCCTAGGTGTATAGAAGGGTCTAGGGGTAAGGAGCTGAAAACAGAAACAACTATCCCTTGGAAATGCTAAGGTTTAAATGCAGATTCATCATATGGATGAATAGGAGAAGTGAAAAGATGATGGTAGGAAAATATATGTCATGATCAAACAACTGTAAGCATTCTTCCATTGACGACAAAGAGACATAGGGTAGTGGTGAGAAACAGGACTGGGGAGTTTAAATTTTAAGTCTAAAATGAGTTACTGAATCCTTATCATTTACCAATCAATTAAGGACTCCTGTACCTCCAGTGTAGGTGTTAGATAGGTTACACAGATAGATCATACTAATAACACTGCCTGGGAAAACAGAAGACTAGATGACTTTGAAAGGCCACTGGGTTCCTGGTTTGTGAAACAGTGAAGACAGACAAGAGAGGAAAGGGAAGAGGAGAAGGGGAGGAGAGGTAGAGGGACAGGGAAGAGGGGAGGAGAGGGAGACAGAAAGATAGACAATAGACAGTATTATTAAGCAGCAGTACTTTAAATCTTAATAATTGATAGAATATTGCTGTGGAACAATCTTTGTACATTGGAAATATGCATTACTCTCATTGGTTAATAAAGAACTGACTGGCCTATAACTGCACAGGAAGAAATTGAGCAGGAGAGCCAGACTAGAAGGACACTGGGAAGAAGGGCAGTGACAGAAGCCACCAGCCAGATGCAGAGCGAGAAGGATGGGAAGTACATATGAGGTAAACGAGCCTTGGGCAGCACATATATTAATAGAAATGTGTTAATTTAAGTTATAGGGTCTAGCTAAAAAACGAACCTAAACTGCCAGCACTTGGCTTAATTAAGTCTCTGTGTGATTATTTGAGGAGCAGCTGGTGGGACAGAATGGTCCACAAACAGGATCTCAAGGATAAAAAATAAATAGAAAAAGGGTTGAAATCAAGGTTTCTCATTCAGGCAATTAAGTAACAGCTACACCATTCCTGATTAATAACTAGCTAGAATCAATCTATGGGATTGATGCTTGCCAGACTATGGGATGTGATACTGAAAGATGCTCATTTAGGCACAGGCAGTGTGGGAAGGCCAGGAAAAGTCATAGTTATAAGTGAAGTTACCCAGGAAAAGTATGGTCATGTCTGAATGGAATGGCCGTGAATGGGAATCACAGATGATGTGAACACAATTGAGGGGAGGCTAGAAGATGAAACACAACAGAATCTCATCAAGGAGGTGAAAGGCAAAGAGCTTCATCAGATGAAGTAAAGGGCTGCCAGGTGCACCGGGTTAAATTCAAGAAGGAACAGAAAAGCATCTTTTGGGATTTAACCCCAAGGTTACCCTCTTTGATATATCATTTCTTGACCTCTGACGCACATATGTTATGCCTTTCCATGATTAAATAAATCACACCCAAGAAACATATAAAATCCAGGCACATACTTTAAATCCCAACAGGCAAATGCCTGTGAGTACAAGGCCAGTTATACATGATGAACTCCAGGACTACTAGAGCTACATAGTAAGACCCTGCCTCCAAAAACAAAAACAAAACAAAACAAAAAAAAAAAAAAAAAAACAAAGAAACAAAACCAAAGAGGAAGGAAGGAAGGAAGGAAGAAAGGAAGGAAGAAGAAATATGTTTTTTTTTAAACTATCATGTGTCCAGTATTGCCTTAATCACCAGTCCTGCCATTTGATTACTACTGCCCTGAGACTTTCATCTTAACATTTGCCACTGACACTTTCCCTCTGCATTTCAGATGCAAACTCCATTACCCTTCCCATCATTATGATATTTTATCTTGATGTGGGACTTTAATATTAAGGGTACTTTTTTTTAATCCTTCACTGGTTATTCCATCAGGGCTTAGTTCCTATTGTCTTTAAGCTCTTTAAATCAAAGTACCCCCAATGTTTGGTATGCGATTGTTTGTTAGGTAAAACTCACATTTCTTCTCCCTAATGTGTAGAGGGAATTTTAAATGTGATGTTGAGAGTGATTTTCAAGTAGGGAGCTATGTACCAAAGCCTTATGTTCTTGGTCAAGGTCCCTATCTTTGTTGTAAAACAACATGACCATAATCCATTTCAATTTCATCATCCAGAGGAGAACCTGGAAGCAAGTACTGGTAGAGAAGATATGGAGTTTCAGCCCGTGTTCTTATAGACACAGGGCCATCAGCCCAGGGATAACACTGTTCACAGTGAGCTAAGCCCTCCGACATCAATCAGTCAGCCAAGAAAAAGCACCACAGACTTGCCTCCAGGCCAGTCTGATGGAGGCATTTTCTCAACCGGCATTCACTTTTCCCAAATGACTCTTCCTTGTGTTAAGTTGACATAAAATGAGTTAGTACATCCACCAAACAGAACTTGTTCCAAGTAGCTCTGGCTTCCTTTATGTCCCACGTCCTGAACAACTTCTCACCCCCTGCCCTGTTACAGCTGCACCCTTGTCCTACTTTCATTTCCCCTGGTCCACAGATATGCAAAACAATTTGAATATAGGGACTCGCTACATGATAAAAAAATTACACTAGTTTATTCTCCATTATAAAGTAACACTAGACATCCTTTTTTACCCTGTTCTTTCTATATGCCAGATGCTATTCTAAGTATATTGTATCCTCTTGTTACTCTATCATTCTATGAATTTAAAACAAGTTAGTTTATTCTTTGCAAATTTGTCAAAATATATTATTTTGCATATCAGTTTGAGTTGCATAGCACATTTTTCTAGCTAGAAAATATAGTAACCATTGTGTAATAAAGTTATTTTTTCCAGTAACTCATTACCAGGCACTTAATCAATGTTGAAATATAACTATAACTATGAAAATGATATCCAAAGGTGCAATTAAATCCTGAAGTATCTCCTAAGTTACAAGAAAGAATTTAAAGCATACTTCGTAGAACCTTGGAGCTACTCACTTGCTGTCATTCTTTTAAAAATGGTAATGCTCATATATATATATATATATATATATATGTTATGAATGCTATAGGCATCTTTTAGTACCTCACAACAAATCATTGTCATTTTGTAGATTTTTATACGATGCCAACACTCATGGGTTAGTTCTTCTCTCACTGGAACCCACATGCATTTGCTCTTCATGCACTTTTGATGACAAACAGAGTAAACTATACTACTTACTTCAAAAATCCAATTTTAGCAGCAACTTGCAGATCAGCAGAACAATTTTCATAGGCACAAAACCTTGCAAAGTTTATCTGGAAATAAAACATTGCAATCTTTATTTCAATTTCTATGTATTTAAAGAACAAGGCACCTGTGCTTGACAAAAATAAAAGTCACACATCAAATTATAACTTATGCCTTGTGCCCAAGGTTCAATCTGAGAACTAGTTAGGAGGTCTAAATACATAGTTTCAGGGCTAAAGAAATTCAGTCCCCCTAGTAGATTCCAGGCCCAAATTTGTCAAGTTAAATAAACTTTGAGATATTATATTAAAGACACTATGCAGATACTTGGAATGTAAGCTGAAAAAATATTTAATGTGCTTTCCCCCACTTTCTCCTGTTAAATTCTGATCAAATTTATTACACAGAAGTATAACATCTACCTTATTTTAACACAGGATGGGTAGTGAATTATATCTAAGAATGCAGCTATATATAGAAATTGGAAGGCACAACTTCATGGAAACATTGAACAAAACTAAATGGTGGCATGTCATGAAGTTTTTTCAATTTTTTAAGATCTAATCATTTGAAAGGATACATGCTCACTACAGGGTATGTATATACGACTCAGGAAGACCTGAGGGATACACTCTGTAAAAGCAAAGAAAGGAAATAATTCAAGACAACAGGAGTAAGTGAAGAAGCTGGGGTATGCAAATAAAAGGGGAAATCTAGAAAGTCAAAGAAGGAACAATGCGCACAAAATGGAAAGTGAATAGTCCCATGACATGGCAGAACACAGACAGCCCGCACCTGGGGAAGCTGAAGTGTAAATGCTCCCCCAAGTGATTAAGTCAGTATGATTTTCATTCTGCTGTTCATAATTGAAGAGCACATGGTTCTAACAGGCAGATTACACATTGCTAACATTTTCTCCTGTGTGTTTACAGTATTGGTATTTAAATTATTAAAAATATTGGAAAATAGTTGGTATTGAAAACTGAAGTTCAATAGAAGAATTTTTAAAATTTCCAACTGACTCACATAACTATTTTCATGTAAGACTATGGAAATTTGCTCTTAAGTTGTATTCATTTGATAGAGTATTCTAGACTAGATAATAGTGAGTTTCTAGCTGCCATCAGTGCATGCTTTAATGAGAGCTTTTGAGTGTGTTCCAATGCATCCTGTCAACTACATGTACACTGTTAGACAGTTAAGGTATTGACACTAGGACTTCCGGGAATGACTATATTATCAGCGAAACTGAAATGCTTGAAAACAATTTATAATAAAATAGCAGGTCAGAATGCAGGGTTTGTCTTAAAATGCAGTTTTTTTTAGTTGTAGCTGAAAACATACAGTGCAATTTTAAAAAGAGAATTTGTGCCACATAATTAACATGTTTATAAATGACAAAACTTCAGCAGTTTAATTGAGCAATCTAGAGTGGATCCATGGGCAGGGATATAATGAGATAAAGTGAGAAATAAAGAAGAGAGAAGATCAACGAGTTCATGAAATGCCACTGAATAACTAACTGACAATATAACCGATGTCCAACATGGTTGCAGTAATTCATTTCTTCAAGGAGAAAAATAAGCTTACATATGTTTTACATAAATATTTATACACAGGGAGGAACTCTTGTGGATAAATGAAAGTTCAAACATTTTCAGTTGAATATCTCAAAAGGACTATTAAATACACACACACACACACACACACACACACACACACACCATAGACAGAGAGAGAGACAGATAAACAGATAGAGAGACCAAAAGAGACCAAGAGAGAGATATTTTAAATCTATTTTCATTAACAATCCACAAAAATTTCTAGTCCAGGTTACATAATGTTTTAAATACAAGAAAGACTCATACCGTTCTTCTAATCACATCTTTTTCTTTCTTCTGCTGGAGGATTGGCTGAAGTGGTGGGAATTCATCTGTGTTTCTTTTGGTGATCACATGATGCCCAAGGTGGTAAATGGCCTCAACCTGAACAGGAGTGAGGATGTCTCGCACATCTTTCTAAGGAAATAGAAAACCATATGTACAAATTAAAAAACAAGCATGAGGAAAAAAGATGCAGAAAACTCCATCCTTCTAGAAGTCCAGACACAAACACAAAATCCATGCTTTAGTGTAATTGCTTCAAAAAGCTTGGAATCTGTGTCCTTTTTGCACTACAGCAATATCTCTGTTGCTTGTGACAACACAAAGAGTATAAAGTGGAAAACTATTACTGATAATATTTTCAAAAGTCTGCATTTCAGCACGTCCCTTCTGTGCTAGTCTCTACAATTGTTGTAGCTTGGTATTGCAATATAAACATTTTCCTTTACACACTCAGTCAATAATTTCAAAGTTCTCCTCAACACTTTTATTGCATGTAATATTACCCTATATGCTTATAGAGAAATAAGATTTCTTTAAAGCTCTTAGAAGACTTTGTATTCATTTTTAAATAAAAATGACTTCATATTTATTGTGAAATTTTCTGTTTTGCTATTTATCATAATGACCTTTCCCCCTTATATTATCTAACATCATGGCTGGCAATATAGGAAAAAAAATGTTAGCTTCATACTTCTAAGTTTATTGAATTTTCTTATTGTGATAGTTTTATTGTTTTCTGTGTTATTATGATTCACAAAAAGAGTTCATAGATTTATTTACCAATCACACAGCAGCAGTAACCAATAAAAAATCCACTCAGCTTTCATGTACACTGACTTCCTGGTTTCTACATAGCTCCTCTGTGTCTATTCTTATTGCTATGTGGTGAAAATACTTCTGAATAATTAAGTTAACATTCATTTTACTATGTTGTCAATGACGCAGCTCAAGTGTTTATTTCAATACATTATTACTTCCTATATTTTAATCTTTATTTATGCAGGCATAGATTAGTTTTATCTCTTTTGGGAATATTTTTCATGGCTTAGAATGATTTTAGTGTGTTTGCAATTTATTATTTACTAATACCTTCATTAAAATTATAACATCTTATTTAAAATTAATTCCTGACATATGTACAAATTGAAATAATCTAATCAAGTGGAAATAACCTGAAAGCATTCAGGATTCAATAAAATTAGCATTACAATAGATCCAAAAGTTATTCTGGAATCAAAAACACATGTATGGGAGGGAGGTAAGATGATACAAATCATAGTGTTTCTTGTTCAAGAGTCACTAGAAAAAAAGGAAGATATGAAACACATGGGCAGGTAGATATCCTTTTTTTCCATGTCTAGAGAGGGTAATGTGATTTTAATAACAAAGCAACACATGAGCATTTATAACAGAAGTCAACATTACATGGTAAAAGACACGTATATACGCATGTTAAGCACAACAAAAGCTAAAATTGAAAATGATCTCAGAATTTGAGAGGGCTTGTTTGGATTAACAAGTACAGTTGACAAATACCGGGATCATGTGGAAAATCCATGTGTACACTTCATTTTTCTCGGCAAGAATTGTTACTATATCCAGAAAAAAATTTGAAGAACAGGGCACAGACTTTGGTTTCTGTCATACATGAACCATTTAAATGTCAAGCTCAGACTGACTCAACACACGAGTTCCATTTTAATAAATGTACTCAGCAAATTCTTCCTCAGCTATTGAAGAAACTCACTTACTTTCACCCAAGAGAGACAGATTTTTTTTTTTTTTTACTCTGTTACTCTGCCACCTCCTCAAGTGGCTCCAAGGATATAGTGGGTATAGTGGGTATAGTGAGGGAATGAAGAACACACAGACACACAGCACACATACAGAAATGCTGGGATCAGGTGGGTTATGTGTGCTGATGGAGTGGTGCCAACCATATAATAACTGGAAACCTGAGTGCACTTATTATATACAGCACAGAGGTAGCTACTCTCGATAACAGGTCTTTATAAGCCATCAGTTTCAGTCTATGAGTATCGGTGAGGAGGAGGAAGCTGCTATTGTTAATTTTAATACACATAGGTCAATTGTTCATAAATAACTTACACTTGCACACACCGTCAACATTCTCATTTGGACCAGAGGAAGGCGTTGCCAGTACCAAGACTGGCTCACATGAAGAAGGCTTTGTCATTTCCATGGGTCTAAGGTATTGGGTCCTTGGCATGGTTGTTCCCCTGTCAATAATGTGTTCACTCAATACTTTATCTGCTTTTTACACATTCCTTCACAGCTTCCTTGTCTTCCCACATTAACCTCTACTAAAATCTTGTGTCTGAATTCCTGATTCTCCTACTGAGTAGTATTAGTGATCCAGGTTTTATTTATCCATGCTCATTTCTCTATTGGAACATGGCTTAAAAGTCATTTTCCAAAAGCAAATTAAAAGACTTGCTTTTAATGAGCTAGCAGTCAACAGTACTTAATGGGTATGATAAAACCTACTTTTCAATATTATTGCTATGTTATTCACATGATAAAATCAATTTAATAAATTTCTAAAAGTGGCCCATACTACATGAAAGGTTGCATTTATTCAATGTCTTTTTCAAAATTATAAAGAGAAAAGATACAATTGTTTCATCTTTTATTCACACTTTGAATTCTCATATATTATACTTAAAAATATATGGTCTAAAGGTAGAAAATTTGTGTTCAAATCTTGGGTCTATTAGAATCTGAGGAAGAACTCCTGTTTGTACACCTGGAAAAGGTATACAAAACCCTGGCCACAGCTTTCATGATGAAGCTTCGATTTAAAATATGTCTTAGCTGATAGACAATCATGAGATCTTCAAGCTAACTAAAACAGGAATTAGATGTAAGATGTGAAAGCTGAATTTTGGTAGATATGTCTTCTGACATTAAAATGTCTCTGTTAAATGTCCTTCATAATGGAAATAAGTTGCTACCACTCTATCAGTACAAGGGATCCAGGGCATTTTTCTACACGTGTACAGTAACAAAGGGAGGGTCTTTATCTTGAAAAGACCTCAGCTTCATTATGGGGTCATTTATGTCATGCCTTAGATCTATGGGCTTTTAGAGGATCATGGGGAAAATATCCTAAGAATCAATCTGGCCCACTATGACTTGTGATGGGAGAAGAGTAACTTTACACTTCAGTATGCCACCCATCCCTTAGATATTCATAAAAGCTTCTTAAAAATCCAAAGTGCAGAATCCACCTGGCTGTTAGCCCTCCTTTGAAGGAGCTGGTCTCTCTTTGGAGTGAAGACTTTGCTTTACTTTGTTAAAGAAACTTCTACTTAAAGTGTCTTTGCTCTCAACTGATTTATTTATTTCAAGAAGACAAAAACCTGGAGACCCTAAAACAGATCCATTACTATCTGTATAACCTTGGCCAGGTTATTTACTTTGTTAATGCTTTGCTATGTTATCTGAAAATGAGAATGGCAATGTCTGCATACTGTCGGGATAGTCAGATAGCATAAAATATGAAAAACACCTTGATGTTACAATGTTGCATGTATATTACTTCAAATGTAGCTATATAACTCAGCCAATCAAATACTGAAATTTAGTTTAATACATGCTGAGAAACATCTGGAAGCATAAGAATGTGGAACTATTGTCATTCAGAGAAGATAAAACAGAAAATGGTGTTGTAGCAACTATCAGATTTATAGTATTCAATGGCACCTGAAAGAGCTGGAGCCTGAACTAAGTGTTCAGGATACCTGATTACTTTTTATTCTTTTATCTCCAGATGTTCTTTATTAAATTACTTGGTAAATGATCTTCTCAACAGGAAACCTTGACCATATCGGAATGCTGCAAATCAAAACCCAAATCCCAAGTTATCTACTTGTGCAAATGGAACAGCTTGAAGCCCTGAGTATCACAATAGCGACCTTGATTAAATTATTCCCTGGGCATAGGAACTAGACAGCCACTGAATATCTATCCACATGTCCACTGTTTTAATTCTTCTCAGCAAGCTTGCTTTGACCAAATCACATGTTATCTAATTCATACTAATTTTCCATGAGGTCTTCTCTACATCTGGTGTACATTACTTTCATTATCCTAATTAGCTATTAATTATGCTTTGTCAAAATATATGAAATGTGCATGTGCTTTTGTAAGAAAACCACACTTTTTAAACTTTATCTGTCCCACCTAAAGACAGAAGCTAAACAAAATATTTAAAATGTCTTAGAGTGACAGAGTAATTATTTAGGAGGGTAAGTATTGGGAAATTTGCTTAAATGTTTATATTTGAACTATTATATTAAAAATAATGAAAATTCAAAGCCATATTTCATAAAATAGTACCCACAAGGTTGCAAATTAGCTCATGCCTAAAATTAGTCTGTATTCTTCCTCTTTCTTAGAACTCTGTATGTCTGACCAACTTGAGAACTAAACTATAGGTCTATATCATCTTAATGCACTTACCTACAAGTGGAAGTTTTTAAATGGAGCTGGTCAAAATTTGAAGTTAAATTTTATGTCAAGACAAACATTTGAAGATATTTACTCATGGGCCAATTGTGCAAATGAATAGGCAAAATAAGTTAAGTCAGTACCTCTATCAGTGTGTCAACCATGAATCCACATAAATGTGTGAGAATAATTATTCTAACATATTCATACATGATTGCAGGGGAAGGAAGGTCATATTATTAGCAATGAAGATGCCTATGAAGATGCTTTTTTTTTAAAAATGCCTTTATTGAGAAGTAAACCACATGCAATGCAAATAATCCTATTAAACTGTAAAAATCTATGACTTTGGTACATTCAGACTGATACAGCCACTGTAACACACACACACACACACACACACACACACACACACACACACACACGAGAGAGAGAGAGAGAGAGAGAGAGAGAGAGAGAGAGAGAGAGAGAGAGAGAGAGAGACCATTTTCGTTAGGTCCCAAGAAAACCTTTCCTTAATCATCTCCCTGTGGTTTTGTTACTCTCATCCCTCGGCTACCACACAAGTCTATTTTAGAAAGATTCTAAATGAATACAATACTGAACTGTCAGATATCTGGGCACTAGCTTTTGGAGAAAAGACACTCACCCCTCCCCAAGACTCCATTTTCTTCTTAAAGAATTCTTTTAGATTGGCTTGTCTGAGAGTCTTCTTTTCAGTTTGTCTCCTCTAAAGGTGAATCTTAGCAGTCTTCATTGTTTATTCTGAGGAGGGAGTGACCTAGTGAATCTGGTCCATTTCAGGGACTTCCTGAGGCTATTTGAGATGTTGAATTTCTGTCTTAAGGAACTTTGCTGCAGGACAGAGTGTTTCAGTCTCAGAGGAAAAGTTTTACACCTGTACACAAATATATTCTTTTATGTTTGAGTCGTGTTTTTTTTAATAGTTTCCACAAAGTGTCAGAAAAAACAGTGTGAATCACCGTTACAGAGATTTCAGTTGATGATCACTTGACTCTATTGCTCCTGGGCCCCAATGGGATGAGGCAGAACATCATAATGGAAACCATGTTTTGAAGTAAACTGGCTCAGTTCATCCTTGACGCAGGAAAAAAGCAGAAATCTATTGATTGCCTGAAAGGGGCTTATGCCAATTGAACTACCTAGAAAGAACACTCTTGCCCCTCTCCAATTATGGATTAGTATACACAAATTATTAACTAATATTAATTTAAGAAGGTAAATGTATTTTTATCTCAGCAAATTCACAACTGAATAATAGAAGGTTCCAAGCAAAAGTTGTTTCTTTTAACAATATTTTGTCTGAATTGATAGAAATGATGTACCTAGCTGCTTGGGATAACCACTCTATAGTTACCTTAATGAATCTCTTTTTTAAGTGTCTGATATAGTAAATGGCATAGACTCTGTCTTCAAACACCTCTTGACCCATCTGTTACCACTGCCTCTGATGGAAACATCACTCTGACCCTAGTGTAATCAGTAGCATTTTCTGTGTCAATGCTTATAAGCTATCATCCACCAACACCCTCTTCACAGCAGCTAGAGTGCTTTAGTACTGAAGTCATATACACTCAACTCAAAACTCTACATTAGATCTCCATCTCACTCAGAGAAACCCACAGATCCCATCAGCTCTATCTTGCAAGTACTCTCCTACCCGTACTATTCAATTTTTAGCCAATCTCACCTTTCCATTGTTCCTTAAAAAATACCTGCCATGCTCTTACCCTGAAACATTTCACTTAGCTCCCAGAACCTTCTGCGATTATACCCGAGACTCTCAAAAATATGGGTTCCTGAGCCAGCAGCACAAGTACCATCCAGGAACTTGACTGAATGCCAAATCTTTATGTCTTCTGCAGGTCTATGAAGTCCATGTCTCTAGCCCCAGTTTAGCACAGAGTATTTTAAAACATCCTATAGTTGTTACTGTTACACACTGCCAGATCACTGCCCATCTTTGTCTCTATTTTATCAGGAAGAGAGATGGAACAGGGATTTGGGGTTGATATTCTGTGCTTTCAAATATGAAGCTTAATAAAGCTAATGTTTACAATTGGTGTGGGCAACCAGACAGGCAAGAAAAGCAAACTGCAACTCTTGTACCCCCTTCAAAGTAACAGGAGCAGCTCCTTGGCAGAACCCAAAGTTGTGGTTCCTATTTGGTGGTTCCCATATCTTCTCTGGGCTTGCTGTAAATTAAGGTTGAAGTCCTTATGGAATTTGTATTTATGAATAATATTTATGAATTAAGAAGCCTCCTTCACTTAAAAAATTCAAAGAAAAAATGCATTGGAGCAAACAATGACTTTTTAAAGCCCTACATATTCCACATCCCAACCTATCACTAGCTACTATAGTTGAATGCTCACTGTAGGATAGGGCTTGGGATGCAATTAAGTGCTGGACAATCTGCCTAGCTTACTACCATTGCTCTCCAGCCTTGCAATAATAACAATAATAACAAAGATAAATAATAGACCATTTACAATAGGGCTCAAATCAACAGTGTACCCCATTATCATGAAAGCAATGATAACTCTGTGAGGATACATACAACAGAGCATGGAAACCTCTGCTAAAGTATAATTCTACTCCAAATGTGCTCTGAAGAAAATGTACAATTTGGACGATCCCTTATTTATAGGAACAATGCCAGAGAACAGGACAAAATAAACCAGCTAAATTTGCTGCTATTTTTACAACTTAAACACAACCTGTTTCCTTGAGAACATCTAATGCTGGTCCTCATGTTGCCCTGAAAATGGCCTCAGCCATTCTCTCTGTAATTGACTAATATAAGTCAAAACACATCTGTGAAGGAAGAAAATAAAGAACCTCCCAAATCCCCACTACATAACTGATGGCTACATTAATATCATTCCTTGCATTTGGCTCTGAATCACTTTAGTCTAATACAATAAACCCTGTGGAGGGCTATGGGGGAATGTCTTGGGGATTCATGCTCTGCATGCAGCACAGTGTACCAATCTTGATGCTTGTTTGCCTTTTCCTGGAATAAGTATCTATGGGAAAATTAAGTTATAAGCTGGGGCTATGATTTCAAATCCCAGAAAGGGCTCCTAGGAACAGTTTGGCTTTCTTGTGACAATAGATTTTCTGATGAAGTACATGGTTCCCTAATGAAAAATAGACCTGGCACAGCTTCATATGCTAAAATTTAACCAGTGTGAGGATTGTGATGCTCCTTTTGGGAATGAGTGTTTTAATAAGAGAAACATGAAATTCACTGAGCTTTGGCAGGATGTCTCCCAAACCATTATGAGAGCTGTCATCCTGGTCCACAGTGAGTCCCACCATGCCACAACTGTACTAGCACCCCAACAGAGTTGGAGGAGAAACAAAGAATCCAAATGCGTCCATGCTGGGGTCATGAAAAACAAACTAAAATCTGCACTACCCAGTGTCCAAACACACTATAGAGAAGATTTTCAGGAAAATGACTCAGGTGTGTTTACAAGCAAGTGGACAAAGGAGGACAGGGAAATAGCAACTGTAGGAAAGGTAAGGCAAGTCTCTACATGCAAGGACACAGGCAAATGAGATCAGACCAAGAAAAAGATAAACCAGGAAGAAGAGTTTACATCTGATGTTTTAACAGGGACAGAAAGCTAACAGCTCATAAGCACACATTATACAGTAAATAGCTGTTGCATGGACAATATGGATGCCTATGTTTCATAATAACTAGTTTTCTTACCCGCATGAATGCTTGGTGTGTCCTACATTTCTCTCTACTACTTGAAACTCTTATGCTTCCTGTGATTGCATCTGAAGTTCCATTAGAGAAGAAGTAGAATCTTGATGGAGTCTCTGCCTTCCTGTGCACATCCAAGCTCATGTTGTAAAACAAAACTGCAGAAGCAGAGCAAGGACCATAATTAGCATGCATGCTCAAGGCTCTGAGATGTTAACAGTTATGTGTCATAATGGAAACATATCAAGTCCTCTCATTAGATTATTTTTAAACAGTTCAACTGCAGCATAAAAAAATAAATAAAATGTACTTTCAAAAGTGTTTTAATAAAATAAGAAAGTATTAAATTTTTTTCAAGTTTTTATTATTAATGTCTTTACTTACTTGGTTAAGCCTTCCACATGTAAGAATGTGAAAGGCACACTATCAAAACCATTACTAATAATACATCTTTGGAGTCACTTTTGTCTCCACAGCATCTGGTGATAGAAGTACTGATGGGCTCTGAGCTCCAAAATTACTCAGGATGAATCTAGATTGTGTGGTTACAAGCCTAGCTTTAAATACAGTAAAGTTCACTTATTTCTGAGTTGCATATACAGGCTTGATATTTTTAATTTTCCTATGTAAAATGAAAATACAGGTCATTAGCCCCAACTTTATAAAATTGTTTACTAAGAAAAAATTACCTTCCTTTCAGTCCAATCACAATTATTCATCCTCCATGACTTTACTGTTCATAGTTTGACCCTCTAGAGTTAATCTGTGCAAAAGCAAAAATACATAAACTTTCTCTCAACTATCCTAGTGTTTTGAAGGGTTGATTTAAAAACTAACATAGTAAATATTCATCTGAAAAATAAAATCCTCAGATCAGAAAAAATAATAGGGGATTTAAAAAGCCAGAAAATCATCGAGGCCAATTATAGCAAGGAAGTAAGCCCCATTTCCTGAATCTAAATGGGTTCTTTACAAAGTGAGTGAAACATAGCACTCCACTGAGTTGCCCTCAGTGCATAGGAGGAGTGATGTGTAAGGGAAATTCTAAAGAATTTATATAAAACTTGCAGTATTCATTTATACTTTAAGAGCAACTTACATTTTTCAAGGTATTTACCCACTCATTTCAAGGTAGCATAAGCATAAAACCTGCATTAGTCTTACATTTATTTTCAAATAAATCTTTCAACCATCATTTAATTTAGAAAATAAAGCTTAAATAAATTGACTTCAAAATTTCAATAACTATAATTTAATAACCTAGAGAGTAAGAGAGAGCAGCACGTGAAGTGGCAATCTATGAATTCATCACCTGAGTCCAAAGGAAAAGGAAAGAGGGAAATAAAAACCTATTTCCATCCAGAGGCAGAACACACTGGCTTCCTCAAACAACCCCACTATGTGGATTATTATTTACAAGGAGTCATTTGATGACAGTTGTAAATCATGTTTTATAAGAACATTGTGACTATGAGATTCATATGTTTGTTTTCAGACACTTAGAAAAAAATATCCAGTGCAATGGAGTTGGAAGAACAAGGAATCAGCCACATTCATTCTTGTGTATCTTTCAGATAATCCATCAGCTTGCCTATGCTAATATGTAATTCACTCTGGGCTCACACTCCCCAGGTGCCAATAACCAGATGAGGGTTTGCCCATCTTATTACTGCAGTCCTGGCCAGGGCTTTCCAAGAGCATTATTAAAAATGAGTTCCGTAAAGTTCAGACGCTGGCTTCACTCTGCCCATTACACACTGAACTTGGTTAGCCTAGAACCTCTATTATACCTAGAAAGTTTGGCTCAATAAGTATCCGACAGCCTCTATGATGTTCGTATAACATCAGCCTGTAAGGTTATTTCACAAGTTACTAATATTCAAATTATGATGGTTCCAGGTATATGTATGACTTACTGTGGACTACTTTTATTAGTAGATCTTCCAACATTGTGCGTGGATTAAAGAGTTTGGATTAACTACCCTCTTGGATGATCCACATCAGAGCTACATTCTCTATGGCAGACAATTAAGTGTTCCCGATGTATAGAAAATGAGCACAGTTATCAGAGTTGATGGTGGCAGCACATGATATACACTAAATTATATCAGAATCCAGATCTGGTCTCCAGATAAGATTCTTTATCCAAAGAGGACATATATTTTAAAGAACAACCCTGTGCCTCTTACTCCTTCCTACCCACACTGGCTCCAGGTTTTATGAGCTCAGTAGGGCTTCAGGTGTGATTCAGAGGCATAGCACTTGCATAGCATCCCCAAAGCCCTCACTCCACTACTTGTAAGAAAAGCAGTAACAGCAATAGAGCACATTTTGAAAGGAGCCCTGTCAAGATGAGGAGCTGTGGTGTGCTCTTTTGAGTCTGAAGATTTTCCATGTTAAGTACAGAAGGCTCAATTTAAAGTAGTGTAGCAAGTGATACCCTGGCACTGCCTTTTGACATAAGTGCTAAGATTTCTCTGTGCTGCACATACTGGCTAGAACAACTTGAGAACCAAAAACGAAAACGACGGACAAGAAGTGCAAAGCAAACTATTACTCTATTCTTCTCTAAAGAAGTGCCAGATGGTCATGACAACAAGCAATGGGGGCTGACAATTTGCTGTCAAATTAAAGAATGGTACACATTCTTTAATGTGTTGGTTCTTTGGGCATACTTACTGATGTAGCCTGGGACTTCTTTGCCCTTATATGAGAAACAGAGTCTTAGATCCATGCACACTGAGGGAAGTCCATTTTCAGTGCAGTCAAATTTTGTTCTATTTACTGACTCAGGATGGCTTAAAGATGCTTCAACAATCACTACAGGCCTTGTCCTAAGAATACAATGAAATTATTAATATAAATTATAGAATTATTTTACCCTAAGACAGTAATTAACATTCTCAACAACCAAGCAATACCATTAAAATGTTTACGTGGTAGTATATACATGCTTGCTTATATTTTGTGTACAGATCAAGAGTTTCTATTTAAATATTTTTCTAGTGGTCTGTTTAATTATATCTAGGCAAAGTGAGAAAAATACCCCAAAGTTTAATAATAAAATGATAATAAGCCAGGCGGTGGTAGCACACGCCTTTAATCCCAATACTTGGGAAGCAGAAGCAGGTGGATCTCTGTGAGTTCGAGACCAGCCTGGTCTACAAGAGCTAGATCCAGGACAGGCTACAAAACAATACAGAGAAACCCTGTCTCAAAAAAAAAAAAAAAAAAAAAAAAAAAAAAAAAACAGAAAGAAAGACATTGAGGATATATAAAGGAACGTCAACATGGACATTGCTTTTGAAACCTGTCCACCACTATCTCCCATTAGGCCTGATTGTCAGTAAAAAGTGATACACATATCCACCTCACCTTAGCAACACTGCAGAATCAGACCGAAAAGCACCAACCGCTACATCTGAAGGAAAAAAAAAAAAAGAAAAGAAAAACAGCATAGATTAATGATCACCATTAGTTAAACAGAATTACCTTGCATTCACAAATACTGTGTATCACCTTGTGACTGTATCAAAACACCATTTACAAAAATTTAATTGGAAAAGACAAGCTTAGATCCTTAGATCTATTCCCCAATTGTCTGAGTCTATTTATTCAGAGACAGCAGTAATCCTTTTGCAAGAAAGCAAAGCAATTGCATGCTAGAGACGTGTGACATCACTGCCAAACAAAATATGATTCTTTGAGTTGGAAAGACTTGTCCAGAAGGCTCCTTTCATATCTTTTAAAACAGACTTCTCTGTTTGATTTCTTGGGTACTTCTTTCTTTCTCAAGAACAAGGGCTCTAACATTAAGTCACTAACAGTGTAAAACTAATGAATTGCTTGATCATTACAGTCCCAGCTTCAAACCTTAAAAATTTAGAAACATATTGCATTTCAAGTGACCTGAAGTCCTATACATTGATTTTCCATGTCCACAATGAAGCAGAACCCACAAAAGAGCTTTTGTGGTCTGGAAATTGGACAGTCTCTACTCACCGACATATCCATTGTTGTCTGCATCAATTTGTCCTGAGATAGATTGTCCAAACATCCTTAGTGATTTGCTGATTTGAAGTCCTTCGATTCTCTGAAAAAAAGGGGGTGGGGGAGGAGGGAAGAATTTTTATAGCATATAGTTATTGAATATTTACTGTTTCCAAGATGCCAGCTTAGTTAAATAATGGACTGTCTGAGGCTTGCCCTAGCATAGTAACTATCAATATGTATTCTAGATAAACCAAACTCTTTGAGAGAGGCAAAATTTCAAACATTGAAATAGAGCTTAAATATATTTTGTTATTAGAAATTTATGTTGTGAAAAGACAACATTTTGCAGTATAGTTTTTAGTTTGTCCAAAACAATTCTTATTCTCCGTCTTTGAATTTTTTCAGGTTCTACATTTGGTTCCTTAATCAACCTAAGTAAATAAATAAATAAATAAACAAACAAACAAACAAACACATTATTTGGAAAACAAAATTCCTATTATTGAGCAGGTCCTTCTGTTCAGATTTATGAATAAAGCCTACTGATTTGGACAGATTGTTTCTTAGCCTTTAAGAGCATCCATGGCATCAGTCTGTTTCATCTATTTAAATTCATGTCCAGACACTGAATTAGAAATACATGGTTGCTGATCACAGTGAGAAAACTCAGTATTTTTTACGTGACACATACGCAATGTCTCTATTAAATGTAGAAAGCTATTTGCCCACATAGCTAGTGAAGCTTTGAAAACTCGTTTCTTCTTAGAACTTGAATGTAGGTCCTTTTATACATGAAAATGCTCTGAGCTTTGAAATTATAAAAATAGAATGAGAGTTTTATCATAAAACTGTATTAAGATGTTATCAGTTTAACTACTGTACACTGAAACAAGCATGGTTTGGCTCTGTAGAGCATGAAGCTTTAGTTGCAAGGAAGTACTGTTGATGTCCAAACAAGCATGCTTGGAAAAACATGTCCATCACCTTAAGAAAACATGTGACATCACACACAGAGACATGAGAATAGGCTAAAGACAAGAATAAAAATAGACTAGAACTCAATGGAAATAAATGGTTTAGAGAACATTGTTATATATAATGTGGGTAAATAGGATCATTTACCCATATTATACAGAGATACAAAATGTTAAATATTTGAAAGAGAAAAGCAATCTACTTTACCAGTTGAGTGACGAGGGTACATTAATCACCAATGCCTCTTTGTAAGACCAAATACTATCTTACCTGTGAGTAGGTGGATGAGATCCCATCTACTCGGCCATTGTAAATGTAGATAGCACCTCGCAAATCATCTTCTTGTGGAGCACCAATAGCAATATCTGTTGGATTTAAACAGGAGAAAAATTAGGAATTTTGATACCAAGAATGAACTTTGAAAACTAGCCTTCATGATCCTAAAGGCATGTGACATAATATAAAAACTCCCTCTTCCAAAGAAACTCAACCATTCTTCCAGACAGGACAACAACAATAACAAAAACCCACTAGCATCATAATGTTCAGGATTATGCATATTTGTCTGTGCATGGAAAAGAAGAGAGTGGATGGTTCTGAAGGGCACTCTTTCAGAATGATGAAGTTTGCAAGGGCTCTAGACCTCTGGATGCCCACCTTAGCTCTGCTGCTGTGCCCTGTTATTCTATGAACCCCCAGGGTTTAATTCATGTATCTTGATTTCTTCACTCAAAGAATGAGATCACAACAAGATGCAAGTCAAGTATGAAAGGGTACATCAACTACATAGAACAGCATCTGGCATGTTATAATCATAAGAGCCTTAGTTTTGAGCTTATAGACTTTTCTACTCCTTTGAAATGACTTCTGAACCAGTTCTTCTCCTGGTGGTATATATTAGATACACACACACACACACACACACACACACACACACACACACACACACCTTGAGAAAATGCATTGTTTTGAAAAATAATGACAGAATGAGTTTATTCTGATTCATTTTGGTTTATGAGAAGAAAAAAATGATGATCTCATGTGAAAAAAATAAAACCCAAGAGAAACAGACATGCTCACTGATCTTATTGAATAAGTTATGTAAATACACATAATACTAAGGAGAAAAATACCATTCCATAGCTGTAAGACTACTTTATTGTTATGCCACATGATTCTATGTATGTACATATGTATGTACATATATACACACTGCCCTGATCTTCACTGCTGCCCCTCAACAATGCTGTCTGTGATGCTTTCTGGGACCCTTCCAAATCCTATAGCAAAGCAGAGTCCAGACAGGGTGTTCCTGGCATAGCAGAAGTCATCAGAATGTACTCCAGATTTGAAACCAGACTCAGTTTTTGTTTGGTCAGTTTCTGGGCTGTACTGGTAGTTAAATGTCATGGTCCAATGATATATAGCCCTTAAAATTTCCTTTCTAAAATCAGCATCCTTTTCAAAAATAGAAAAATAATGGATATCACAGTTTGATAGACATCACTTTTTAGAATTGTGCAAAAAAAATGCTACTTATAATGAATGGTATCCTTAGAATTAAAATCTTTGAATATCATTCTGTAACTAATTATAACTTACAGTTATAACTGAAGAATACTATAAAGCTAGACAGCAGACCATTCTGGCCCCATTTCTAACAGAAAGGCAAACAGCACAAAACTACAATAATACTCTCTTCCTTGAACTATTTGAAATTTTGACATCAAGTACAAAGTTAGAGAATTTTAATTACCTTCAAAGCCATCATTATCAATGTCACCAAGATTTGCAATGGATTCCCCAAATCTTGCAGCATATTTATCACTTCCGATAAGCACTGTTTCCATTTCATTCATTTCAGCTCCCTAGGTAGAAATGGAAGAAAGGTGTCATTATAAAACTCCCTGACAACTTTACACATGATTTACCGCTATAATTGGATATGGATTTTTTTCTAATGCGTCAAACCACAGATTGAGCTCTAGTACACACATCTCTGTTCAATTCAATAAATATTTATTAAGTCAACACATATAATAGCATGATTAGAGCTCAGAGGACATAGGAAGTTGTCTAACTCATGATCCCTAGCTTTGAAAATCCAATAAATCATTTTGATAATTCAATTTAACAAATATTTATTGAGCTCTTGCTAAGGACAATGCACTGTTCAGAGAAAGCAGGTGAAGAGGGTCAAGGAGGAGTCTATATAAAACACTTTCCTCCAGGAACCATAGCTACAAGGAGGGCTTAACACAAGCACGTACATGACTTACAAGTACAAATTGCTTCACACAAATGAGAAGAAAGAAAAATAATTCAACTGAAGCAAGGAAGGAATTCCAATAATTCCAATAAGGAGAAGAAAGGAAAGATGACCCATGGGAGACTTCATAATGTGTCATACAAGGTGGCTACTGCAAGGAAGGTGTGGTTTTGATATACAGAAAAAGTGATCAGCAAAACACTTTACATGTATGAATGGTATACATAATGAACAAGACAATAAAGGCCAAATTACTGTCTTACAGTATATAACAATTTGATTAAAAGGTAAATTTGTTCTTTCTGAAGTGAACAATAGAAAGCCTTGGGAGGTCTCTGAATAAAGAGTGGCATTAAATGAGTTAGCCATTGGAATCTCTGAAGTTGAAGGTGAGTTGTTACATGTATGTATATTATATGTAAGGTAAGGTAATGATGCTGTGATAATGAGCACTGATCATTTCAATCTCGTGTTTTAAAAACAAATCCCACATGCTAATCATAGATCTCCTCTTCTCTGCATCTAGTCTTCCTCCCACAAACACACATTCTATGCTTTGCCAAGTGTCCTTCACTTTTTCTTGCATAATCAGAAAATTCTATTGTTTTCCTCTCTCAAATACTACTTCCTTGAAATATTTTTGGCCCAAAGTAAATTATGCCTACTTTTCATATACTTATTACCTGCCATTTGCCAAATTGTATTCCAGTGACTCTTCCATGATTGACATCTCACCCAATCCATAAGATTTGGGGGTCACAACTATTTTCAGCTTCTTTTCATACTATGTTCCATTCTAGATTCTCACTAAGGGTCACTTTTTTTCCTAAGTGAATTATACAGTTACTAATATTAACATGGCACGGGATAAAATCTGAAGACCAAGGGATAAAATGGAGTGGCTCCTTAGGAAATGACTAAAAGGAAGGGAGGCGGGCTTCAGAGAAGACAAGTGATGTGTAACCTCAAGACTATGCTTTTTTAGAAGAGTTTCAAGAGAAATAATGTGGTGATTGCTCTTGTCCAAGTATTCTACATCCATTCAGAATGGCAACCAAGCACTCACTGGGGACCACTGAGAGCTATGTAGTACATTAGTTTGAAACCCAAGTCATTTAAGTAATCTTCTTTCTTTTAGTTCATTGAAAATAATTCTGGAGTGACTGCCTGTCTAGGACTTCTATGAGCCATGAAAACAAAGCAGGGGTAGCTAGTACAGCCAATAGCAAACTTGGTAAAGAAAATATTATGCTTCTTAGTGTTTAGTTCCATTTCAGAGAGTTTAGAAATAGGTTAGATGTGAAGAAAGCAATATAAATCTACACTACAGGATTTAAAAAAAAATGGAAACTGATTACAAAACTGATCCCAGCATCCAGCAGCAGTGCTTCTGGGTAAGTAGGAGGGAAGGGGGAGGACAGCTCAGTGAGCAGGCTCTTCCTATGCTCTCTGAGCATTTCTTTAATCTGTTTTCATAGTGGGATGATCTAAGATTTCAGTGGGGGTGGGGATATTCCTTTACCTTCTGAGTGGTTTTTACTGTCAAACAATTTTTTAAATTTCCTTGTTAAGAAAAAAGACTTACCAGATATTTGTCACAAGGGAAAAATAAGGGAGACTTTCTGAATAAGGATCTGGTAAACACAAGGAAGGCCGTTGTGAACAGGGGAGTATGAAAGATGTGGTGCAACACTGTTCATGTGCCATTAATGCCATCTGAGAGATCACTGTTCTGACAATAATATGTCTCTCTAAAACACATTTTAGTTTAAAGGAAGTCTAGGAAAGTTCTGCATGTGTAACTCTAGTCTAGATTTAGAATGTGGAGATGTTTACATCTTTGTAAGACTGGAAGCCTTGTTTGCATTGTATAGAGCTTAGCTTGATGTTTGAAATGAGAACTTTTCAAATTCTCTGAAAATTTGAGTAAGCAAGCCTCAAGCACACTGTGCTAAATCTCCACTGAACAATGCTGAGTCCTGAGAAATGAAGCCTGATCTCATTTTCAAACCAAAGGAACAAAGAATATGCTAAGTATCCAATCTTTGCTTGATTTAATGTCAAGAAGTAAGGCTGTTTAGAGAAGGCCAGAACCCTATAGACTGAATCAAGGCACCCATTTCCACTACAAATACTGCTCATGACTTAAAGCTGAACAATAGTCGGTATTAGCTAATTGAACAATGTATCTACTTCAGAATAAATTACACCAAGCTCATAATATTTTTCAGAATATAATCCAAATGAACTGTTCAATAATATTTTATCAATGCAGCTTATTTCTGTAAAGTAAATTTCTATAAATAAACTAAAAATATCAAATGCTTCATCTATTCCTAATAACAAACATTTCATAATCTACTAGTTATATAAGGACCATAATTATTGAGGTATATAAAATCTATTTTGAAATATCTACACAAACCATTCTTCCAAATTATATTTGTGCCAAAATTAAACTGAAGAAAATTTCAGTTATTAGAGTGAACCCACACAAGCGGTGTACAGATTTGTGTAATAAGTCTCATATTTCTGGAATAGCTACCCACTGTCGTGCTCTGTTCCATTTTCGGAGCATTAGTACAGCAGTAGAAGTGTCTCTTTGGTCAATCAGATAAGCTAAAGACCACAGTTTTGACCTGGCAAGATTGCTCAGTGAATAAGAGTGCTTCTTGTACAAGTCTCTTGACCTGAGCTGGATCCCAGAAACATATGCACCATAGCATGCATAGGAGTGCATGCACATGGATCATGCATTTGTACACACACACACACACACACACACACATACACACACACACACACACATTTCAGAAAGAGTCTATAGTCTCAGAACTCTGAAATAGGAGCAGTTTCAGTCTGAATTGTAATTCATAATTGACTTCCTGTTTGGGGAATAGCAGACATACCAAGCCAGAGTTGATGTACACGTATACTCTCCCTTCCTCTCTGATAGTGCTCTGCATGGGAGCCCCAACAAGGAGATCTGAGAAGCCGTCTGCGTTGAGGTCCACCGCACATATAGAAGCTCCAAAGTATGAGCCAAGCTGTTCCAAACAAAGCACATGCGCAATAAGAACAGGCAGGCTTATCCACAGAAGCCCTCAGCGACCCCAAAGGCAGGGACATATTTACCTTTTTACCTTTCATTTCATGAATGATGCTCAGTTCCCTTTCTTCAATGCTGAATATAAATGCCTGTGATTTGGGAAGAATTCAGAAATATCTACTTGCTTACAAAATTTAACAATATATTTTTTTAATTAAAACATCAATTTGTATAACATGTAATTAATTGGACAAACACAAAAATATTAAATATTTAATAAAATTGTTACTGCTACAAAATTTAAGAGTGATAGGAAAAAAGATCATATTTAGAAGCCTGATCTGATTTGCAGCACTGTCCTCTGATGAACTAACTTTGGGACCCACAGAGAAGGCATAGAAAAAGGTTTACCAAAATATGGAGTTCTATTGTTCACATGGCAATACAGAAAAATACTGAACTAGAATTTTCTATTCTATTCTTTTTGGTCTTAACATGCAGTGTTTCCTGTCTCAACTTTCTTTTACTAAATAATGCCCAGAACACACATTCTCTGGACATCTACAGCTATTTATACTTTATAAGCAATTTACTCATATCAAAGCCCTATTTCAGGTATAGGATTCCCATTAAAGTTGTCCAACTCCATTTCTTTGAGATCTATAAATGCATTTTACATAAATACAACTGATACAATACATGGTTCATCATTTTAATCTTAAAATGGTTACAGTTTCCCTTTAATATCTGACTCCCTCACATAATCAACTCAAGACTTTGTGAAGAAATTAAGAGAGAGAGAAAAAAAACTTTGGGTCCTACTTTTCCTATCTGTTCATGTTGAGGGGCTCCTCCAACAACTTCAGTTGTGTGTGGACTTCGAAAATGACCAGCTCCAACTGAGTAGCCTTCAAAAAAGGAGAGAAATACATAGGACTCTTCATTCAGAACAGGCATGTGCTTTTCTAATTCTTTGCATAGAAGTAAACAAAACTGAACCCAAACTGATTGCTTTTATTAACTTAAAATGGTCATTAAAAGCAATTTTAACATATGTATTATTTAAAGTGATACAAGTTTGTATTTCCAAGCTCTCAATATTGAAAGTATGACCTTGGCACTTAGACAGTTATTCCCCTGGCAATATGATGAGCAACTGGATTCCAGTAGTATAGGTGAACCATCTGACCGTACACAAAACTCTGAAGCTGGCGAATGACAATCGTTACAGATTTCATTTTTCTGTTGTATGGAGTTTACATAAAAATACTTCAAGATATTCTTTAATAAGAGATAAGGAAATGTCATATAGGTTCTATTGAAATGATAATAAAAAATAGTACTTGCTTTATTAGTGTACTTTCTGAGCACATACTGTTAACATTTAAAGTACATGTGCTTTTTAGGAAATTATAGAACATGTGCATTTTTTTGTAAAGGGAAACAATGGCATGAAATTTGTTTTTGGTATACATATGAGTGATAAGGTATGATACTCTTTTCTTCTTTTGTTTTTTGTTTTTGTTGTTTGTTTGTTTGTTTGTTTTGGTTTTTTTGTTTTTGAGACAGGGTTTCTGTGTGTTGTTTTGGAGCCTGTCCTGGAATTTGCTCTGTAGACCAGTCTGGCCTCGAATTCACTGAGATCTACTTGCCTCTGCCTCATGAGTGTTGGGATTAAAGGCATGCACCACCAATGCCCAGCAAGGTATGATACTCTTGGCTTGTGAAATAACAACAGTGAGGAGAGGGGAGAAAAGACAATAAAAATAATTAAACTCTGAGAAACAATCCAAGATAATCTTTACAAACTAAAATAAATTTCTATAAGGAAAAGGTAAAAGGAAAAACTTTAGACTATACCTCAAAATGCTCTCCTTTATGTAGAATGATATTTTAAGACCCATTGGTTTTCATTTGATAATTTAAGAATTATGCCTGTGTATTCATAGACATGTGTTGAAATGGGCCAACTGATACAGAGTTAGTTTAAAAACTTCCTAAGGGCCCAGTAGTGGTGACACACATCTTTAACTCCAGCACTCAGGAGGCAAAGGCAGGCAGACCTCTGAGAGTTTCAGTCCAACCATCATGGGACTCTATCTTAGAAAAAAGTGGAGGAGAGGAGGAGCTTTCCACAGTAAGCATTCAATGGCTCTTATATAAAAACAGTGGTGATGACTGTTGTCACCTATGTTCATGTAAGATTCAGAGTTAATGAAAACATACTTGACTCTATGATTAATTGATGTACATAATTGTTACTGATCAATGGGATGTTTAGAACAGCACATATAATTCCTAAGGCACAGATAATTTGAGTTTGTAAAATTTTTACAGTACCTAAGTAACTTCCAAATTTTACTTGATTTTGTCTGTCTACAAATGCCTTGTACTTGTTTGTAGTTATATTGTAGACAAAGATGGAACCAGTCCAGTAATATGATCCTGGGGCCCCCATCACAATTAAATCCTGTAAAAGAAAACTCATCATCATTTGAAAGTTAAATTTCACCACCCCAAACCTCTTGAAAATACACAACATTCTAGGCAATTCATCAGGAAAGACATATCTTGCAGCTCTTAAATGGGAACATATTATTAATTTAAAGTCAGATGTTAAAAAGTCAGAATCACTAAAAGCAGAATTTTAGAGAAGAAATGCTGGAATTCTCTCCACATTTATAAGTGGATTTCAAATACCAAAGATAGGGCCATTAGACAATAGAGCAAGCTTTGGGACAAGGCCAATGTGGGTCAGCAAAGACAATTGTCTGTATGTAATTCATTAGGGTTCATTACCAGGATAATCATGTGCTACCAGAGAGTAAATGGGGGCTTAATTTATTTCAATTTGCAAAAAGCACTGAATAGTGTCCCTAACAATTTCAACTCAGATAATCAAAAGGCTAGTGAAATTTAAGGCATTAAATTTAAGGAGGGAGAGAGAGTGAGCAGGCCCTTCTCTCTACTGTATAACAACTCATAGCTATCAACCATAATTAAAATTTAGTCTATTCTCTAAGTAATTCTGAACTTTAAATATAGTTACTTCCATAGACTAAAAAAAGAATTGTTATAAGCATTTGTAAAATATGTTAACATGTATAAGACCAGTTAACCAAAACAATACTGTCTTATTTCCACAGAGTTAGGAAATATTCATGAAATCATAATGGGTTTTTGAGAGAACCTGGTACATTTATTATTCTTTTTATTAATTAACCTGAGGGCTAGATATAGTTGAGACCTCACATATAACAATCTAGAGTTTTGGGTAGTTTTTGAGATTATACTGATTTTCAACGGTACTTTTTAACTTGTTAACCCTCCACTACTATCATAACTTTAATGAAATACAGGCTCATGTATTTCCTTTATACTCAATTAGTGATTAAAAACAACATATTTGGGTGGGTAAATATTTTCAGTTCCTAAGTTAACAAAATAAATAACTAGCTACTTTAGGTGTCCATTAAATTCCTAATGGAGGTGACGATCTTTAGTGTAGTCACTTAGAAATTAAGTTTCCAAAATTAGATATGGAACATTAAATGGAATAAATAGGGTGATAAGAGTATACAGATTAAGAGATATTACTCAAATGTTACTCAGTTTTGAATCCCAAATCTAGAGAACCCCTGGAATTAGGCTTCTACATATGCACAGTACTTGGAGCTAATATCGGGCTGTTACCTGTGTGTAAAAACTAGATATTCCAGCTTGACATGATGCAAAATGTTCTCCAAATTTTCTCACAAAATCTAAGATAAAATATACAATATTGATTTAGACAAATTGGGAATACATACTTATTTTTCTTTTTGAGACACAGTTTGCCTGTTCAGCTAAGGCTGGCCTTGATCCCAAAATCATTCTGACTCAGCCTTCTAATTTTTCAGGAATAATCTCACGATAATGATATCATCCTTTATATACTTTATTTTTCTCATAGATCTTCACAAACATGACTCTTAAGATCTATGCTTTGCACATCATTTTTCAAAATGGTAATAATGAACATAGTTTAACATCATCCAACTCCTCTGTATGAATCTTCAAATTGTCATCCTGCATCACAATTAGAGACATTTCTCCCCCTGCTTCCTCATCATAGGAATTATTTGCAACACGTACTAAAATTGTTTTTAAAAATTCAATTAGTGAAGTAATATTCTGACTTTGTTTTCATAGGTCCCTGAGCTATCTGGAGGTGCACAACAGTATGTTCTGTGAACACACACATGGTAGAATGACTACACACCCATGCAGCTCAATACACCTATCTCTTTATGGTGACATTTTGTCTGTATATGGAAAAAAAAACCCAAAAAACAAAACAAAACAAAACAAACAAACAAACAAAAAAAAACAAAGGTAATCTGTCCTCTTGGCAAACTCCCACAACAAGCTGTATCATTAAATATAACCTCCATGCCACGCATTACATTGCTAGACTCATTCATCTACGAAGCTGGAACTCAATGTCATGTAATCCACACTCCTCATCCCACTCGACCTCCCACATCCCCAACCACTTTGCCATTTAGTTTCTCAGTATTGGAAGTGTTTTTACATTTCACATATAAGTGTTATTTATTATGTGCTGTTTTCTGTGCCTTGCTTATAATGTCCTTCATATCCTCCCATGGTGTCCCAAATGGCAGGGCTTACTAAGGTTGGGTGGCATCCTATTGTACATATACACACATATCTCCACCACCCATGAGTCGTTTACTCTCAGACTTCTTAAGGAACTGCTGAGTTGTGTGGGACTTCTATTTTCCTATCTTAAGGAACTTCCATAGTCTTTCATAATGTTGCACTAATTTGCACTCCCGCTGTCTTTGCTAACACTTAACTTTTCATCTTTTTGGTAAATAGCCATTTAATTTAACAGATAAGAAGTGATCTTGCTGGATTTAATTTACATTCTCTGATGATTAGCAACACCAATCACCCTTCATATACAGACCAGCCATTTTTCTGCTTTCATTCGAAAGAAAATATCTTGGTTTTACTGATTTTTAACTAGGTTATTGGTTTTGTGGTTATCTCTTTGGTGAGATTCATATATGTTTTAGGAATGAACTTCACATCTGAGGCTGTTTGCAAGTGCCCCGTCCCCTCTCCATCGTATCTTTATCTCTCTGCTCTGCTGATGGCCTCCTTGGCCATGCAGAAGTTTTGCTGCTGGCTATAGTGCCATTTGTCTCATTCCTTTTGTGGCTTGAGATTTTGTTGTGACCCCCAAGGAACCAGTGGCAAGACCAATTTCAAGAAGCTTCCTTTCTCTGTCACTCTGCAGAGGTTCCATTGCTATAGGAGGCTTCACACTTAAGTGGCCTTTCATTTCGAGCTCACTTTCATGTGATCAGAGTCCAATTTCACTCTTTTTGCAGGTGGATATTCAATTTCCTTACATTAGTTCATTGAGGAGATTATCCCTTCTTTATGGACCCATGTAGGCTTGTAAGGTCTCTTACTGCAAAGCCGTGTGAATTGATGCTTTTGGGGTTTACTGAGGACACAGCCCTCCTTCTCCTGACGCTTTCATTCATAAGCCTCCATGAAAAGAAAAATCATAACTATTTCTTCCTTTTGACAAATTACTATACTGATGTATAAGCATTCCCTGCCATAATCTCTCACTCCTTTAGAATTTTCCTTGTGCCTTTGTTTTTACAAATTTTGATGTGTTTATGTTTATATAATCTTGACTTTTAAAATTATATAACTAGATATATATTAGCAAAAATAACTCCTGCCTATGAAAGGGGATCATAAATATATAGAAATTCTGACCAAATTTGATTTCAATTGAGAACTTAATATTCATTATTTATCTTCTTTCATTCAAAGGTAAAATACAAATATTTGTTATATGGACTTCTCCATAACATCAGAATCCAGACATGAAAGATCCTAAAATTATCAGAATTAGCAAGTTTTAATGTATCCAAAGTTTTGACAGTTATTTAAAATTACATTTGGATAATAAGGGAGATGGGAAAAGTATTTTTTGTCATGATAAAGAATAGACATTCATTCATATTTTTGGTATTCTAAAGAAATTTTTAGAGTTATTATCAGAGATACAGTATTAAATGCTACTGGCATTTGTCCCTAACTCTGTGTTTATACCTAGTTCTATATATAAAACACCAACAGCAACAGATTTCCATTGAGACAGTTTTCTAACTTTAGATCAGTGGTTCTCAATCTTCCTACTGCTGTGACCCCTGAATATAATTCTTCATGCTGTGGTGACCACCAACCATAAAAGTATTTTCATTGCTACTTCATAACTGTCATTTTGCTATTGTTATAAATCATGATGTAAATACCTGACATACAGATGATCTCAGGTGACCCTTTTGAAAAGAGGTTATTTGAATCCCAAAGGGGTCACAACTTGCTGCTTTAGACACTAATCTTCAAGAAATACATATGAGCTGGGGAAAAGGGAAGTAGGGAGGCTTTGCTTATACTAATGTCTTGAACCCTTTTAAACTGTTTAGAACCCTTTTGAACTGTTTAGAAGCTACTAAAGAACAAAAAAATGCAGTCACTTTCTTTCTAATAAGAATTTTCTATGTAATTTCATAATTTTAGGGATCCTACGTTTCCTGGTCAGTAGACATGTTCATAAAGATTTGAAAGTAAATTTAGTGTAAAAGTGGATAATTATCAACTAGCTTCCCCAGTTATTCAAACGAACCTGAAAGGTTGTTTTCAAAAGCATAGATTGCTTATATGTAGGGCAGTAAACATAGGAAGGATGTTTTATGTTAAACAATGGTCATATCAAAGATCTTCCTCTGTGATCAGGCAAAGATGAAAATGCAAAGAAACACTAACTGAAAGCCATTGTTTGCTTTAAAGAACCACCCTGCCTCCATTTCAGCCTCAACTCCATCTTATAGCAAAGATGAATCAATCAGGCTCATTCCTGTTTATGATTAAACTGCTGTTTCTCAAGGATTGGGCTATGACAACCTATAACCTTAACTACAAATGGTTCTGTACTGCCTGTTCCAGGAAATGGCAATTGTGTCTTCATTTCAAAAAGTTATTTATAGTGATCTTGCAACCCTACATCTGTTTCAAAGGGGCTGTTATGGGCTATCTTTTATGACCACCTTAAAATCTCATCTTTGTTTCAGGAGGTCATCAGGTCTAATTTGTTTGTTCTTCTCCTGTAACCCTGCCTATTTTGACTGCCAAATCTCCCATTTGGAAACCCTTTACTCCTGAGCTATACAAGCTTTGTCTTCTTCACATCTAATGCTGACCTCAGAATCCTACCTTAGAGAGAGGCAGCCCATGTACACAAGTATAAAAAGCTTGATTTAATTGCTTGTTTTAATTAATTTGGCAATGATGATTTTGGTCAGTGGTCTTTCTCCTCCCATTTGGGGATTTACAGAGTGTCTCTATCTAGCTGCATCATGTCACACTTACTTACCTTGGTAACATGGGGCCATCCTTTTACTCAGTTCTGTTCGCAAATCAGAAGGCATCCCATAGCAAACACCAGTGGGTAGCTTATTTTCATTCCTCATATAAAATATATTTTTCCACCTGTGCCCACAAGTCTGGGTAAAACATAAGTAAAGCAAATATGTGAAAGTCATGCCCAGAATGCCTGATTCCAGGATCTTGATCAGTGGACCCACTTCAATACCTACCACGATAGATCCATTTTCACCTGGCTGTCTGGAGAGTGTTACCCCCAACCACTGGTTATCTCTCTCTTCCAAGCATGTCTTTCCACAAGGCTCTCCACTGGGGCTACCTGCAGCATTTGCAAATATGTTTATCATCAGTTTTGTTGAAAATAATGCTATTCTAAAAGAATAGGGTAGTTAAAACCAGGCCCTTATTTCCAGGGTTTCTCTTCAGCCAGTTTTGTCTCATATCCAAGGTACAATTTAGTGGAAAAGTGAGTTTCTCTCTGCCAACATAGTTATTCTTCATGCATGCTGAGTGTTCTTTGTTGAATGGCTTCTGAGAGATGAAGATGTCATGAAGATGTGGCCTCCGTGATACAGGAGGTAGCTAACTAACCTGAGCAAGACAAGGAAGGTCCATTTGATCTAGAGTCAGAGGCTAATCTTTGGGAAAGAATTTTTGCTTTTACCTCACCAATTTATCAACATAAGCAACACCACCAGAGTATTTTCAAAAATGTCCTCAGCAATAAAGTAGAGTTTATTGGAGTTGGACGGTGATGACTGAGCATATAGCAAGTGGAATATATAAGTAGTACACTAATAACTCATAGCATTTGAAACAAAATGCCCTGTGTGTTAGACTTAGTGGGATGACTGGAGTTTTCAACAAAGATAAAAGGTCTTTAAAAAACAAAGTGGTATCAGTGATAAACAAAAAAACATCAATAGGCACACTTTGGCAAATGCATAAATTGTAAAAAGGCTAACATAAAGGAAATATTCAGGTAGTACATAGTCCTGCTACCCTTTGCTGTTGAGCTGGAGTCCTAGTAAAAATTGTGTTAAAGTGATTTCAAATCATTGATTGGAGGAAGATTAAGATAGGTGTCATGGATTCTTTTTGCTATCTTAACTTCTTACCCTCTTTAGTCAACACTTGAATATTCTGTGCTCAGTTCCAACAGCAGATCAATACATTAGCAGCAATTAGATGAGGTAAATATACAGGAAGCTGGATTCCTTTACTTTAAACATTGGTCACCAAGTATTTAAATAGTTATGGCAAATTTTCTCACAGTGGTCTCTGTATCATTAGGTACTTGCTTACCCCTTCAACCTTGACTTTATGTACAGTTTTCTTAGGACCCTCACAATGCCTATATTGATAAAGATGATATATTTCAAATGAAATCATTTGTATTGGTTTTCCTGAGTCATAACATTTTTCATAAGATGTACAGGAAGAGAGGGAGGAGTGATGAGCAAAGGGGTCAAGAAACCCATAGAGACAACTGACCTGAACAAGGGGGAGCTCATGGACCCCCAGACTGAAAGCTGAGAAACCAGCATTGGACCTATTCAGACCCCCTGAACATGGGTCTCAGTTAGAAGGCCTGGGCAGTCTGTAGGACCTCTGACAGTGGAATCAGGATGTACCCCTGGTGTACGGAAGGACTTTGGGAGCACATTCCCCATGGAGGGATACTCCCTTAGCCTAGAAACAGGAGGGAGGGCCTGGACCCTACTTCAAATGACTTGACAAATTTTGATGATCTCTCCTGGAAGGCCTCATCCTCCCTGTGGAGTGGGTGGGGAATGGGGTATGAGGGGGGATGGGTGTAACGTGTATGGTTTTTCTGCCTGCCGCCGCGCCAGCCCCAAATAATACACAGACACTCTGTATTTGATACAATACTGTTGGCCTGGTTACTTGTTTCTTATCGGCTAACTCTGCCTTTAATTATTAACCCATTTCTGCTGCTCTATGTATTTTCACATGGCCTTCTCTTACCGGGGAGGCAGCTGGCGTCCAGCTCTCCATCTTGACTCCTCCTTACTACTTCCTATTTCCTCCTTGTCTCCTAGTCCCTCCTATCTTCCTTTCCTATTGGCCAACAGTGCTTTATATTAACCAGTATGAGAAACATATATACATAATGGCATCTCCCATCAGATGGGAGTATGGGAGGGAGAGGGAACTTGGATCCACATGTAAAATAACAAAAATAATAAATAAAAAACAAAAACAAAGAAACAGAAAAGAAGTATAGGAAGCTATTTGGAACTATCATGGAAATAGCTAATCCTTCAACACAACTAAGCTGAAGGAAGTTTCCCAAACTCTCTTCTGGTGTCCTATTCTGTGGGTCTAGCCAGGCCTATCTATTGGAAGGGTCACTTCAGGTCAGGTCAGGAGCATGGTTAGAATAGAACATGGATAATGAGTTGGCTTTGTTTCCTGGCAAACAATGATGCTTCCACTACTGATAGAGTATTCCAGGAGAGAGAGACTGAGAAATGAAGGCAAGTAAACCCAGAGAAAGAACTAAGTAATGGGAGAGAAACCTAGTATAAGCCCAAACCCTGATCAAGAATCGCCAGATGGACATGGAGTTTTCTGTGTGAAACTTATGAAAGACAGCTTGGGTGGAAGTAGGAGAGAGGAGAAGGAGGAAGGAAAAGAAAATCAAGGAATTAAAGGTGTTTTTATTGTGTGTCAATCAAAAGGGCAAACATTCTAACACAGGGAACTACTAGAGCAACATGATACCAAACCAATACAGGAGAAATAAGAAGAGAGACCAAAAGAAAATTCAATTTTCATTGTGATGTAGTTTTCATTTTGACTTGTCTCTAACATTGCCAACATTTAAAGATGAGTGTAAAAACAGATCATCAAAGGTAGATGCAGCCTGCCTGCAGCTGAAGCTCTGTTACCATAAGAATTGAGGATATATCACCTCTGAAAACATCACACCATTTCTAGAATTATAGTTAATTCACCTCCAGTTTAGCTGTCTTTGTTAGAGATAGGAGCACATGAGCCTATAAATGACACCTTCACTGTTCCTATGTGGACAGGAAAAATGTTTTTTTCAAGATTATAGTTGATATTTGCAAACAAATGTTCTCTCCTAGAGATAGAAACCCAAGTTAAAAACAACAAAAACAGTGCTTTGGAATCACAAAAATTATATCATGCAAATTCCTAGTTGAAAATGGCTCAGAAGTTATGTGCAAGAATAGCATACTGCATGTAATTATGTGTTTCTTAGCTAAGTTCTGTTTCCTATGTTTCTAAATGAACATTGGAGACACCTTTGCCAAGTTAAGCTGTTATCTGTTCCATCCAAGCTGCTTCCTGCTCAGTAGTGTTAGCCCTGCAGATGACGGTTACTGCTGCTGTTGCCTTGCCTCCCTGCTCACTGTGCCCCTTTCTTATCATCCAACCCCCTTCTTCCCATTCCTGGGGCTTTCTGAGCCCTCTAGAAGGACTTCTATGTGACCTGACTTGTTTAGGATGACTTCTGAGAGTTTTACTTTTACTTCCAGTGTGGCTCACAACACGCTCTTCCTCTACTCTTAATTCTATGTTAAAGGCAATGATTCTTAGAAGTGGAACAAAGAGCCCTCCAGAAGCCACAAGAAGAGATGTTTACACGACATTAAATGTGGTCAAACTTTCCCAGGATTCTAGTGGTGAGACTAAGTTGCTTTTGAACAGAATAAACACATAGTGAGTGGGCATGGGGACAATGTGGGGGATGGGGTTAAGTAACAGTGGACATAGTCTTTCCCATGTGCTACATGGTTCCAAACAACAGATACTTTCTCATATATAGATAAGAGTTCTAATTTATGGTAATTAAAATGTATGATATATAAACAGTATAAATATAAAATTTTCTACTCTATAGATAGGACTGTCGACCTTAGCAATCAAGGACTTTTACTGGCATAGGATATGATCACTGAGAAGAAATTAAGTTGTCCATTAGGCAGTAGGAAGGAGGGACTCCTTTTTGACTGGGATTAGGTACATATATTTGTTTACAACTTCTCTGCTTCCAAGGTTTAGCACTGATTTTATTTATCTTGGCCAAGCCAAGATCTTGTTGGTCATCATTCCATCCCAACATAAAACCCAGAAATATGTGCTGAAAATGGAATCTGTAAATGGAAAAAAAATCTTCTATTGTGTTGCATGCCTTGAGTTCAAAGTGTGTGTCAAAAGTATGTCTATGATACATACAGGAATGAAAATGAAATTATAAGGAATCATTTTACATGCATACACTCATATACAAATATACACCTACACACCCCCCACACATGCATGTTGTGACATTTCTTCTTTTTACTTCTTGACACTGCTTCCTATAGAGATAACCTTCAACTGCAACCACAATACAGAGGGACTTTCAGCACTGGTTGGTTACTAGACGGAATCAGTCCCAGGAGTAGTCTGCAAGTCACCATCCAGCTCTGAACTTCCTCTATTTCTGCAACATTTTCACATTCTTTTTGGGAGTGCCAGAAAAATTACAGCAGAAAAGACAAGATCTCTGCATTTTAAGCTTTCCTCAAGCCCCTAAGACAGTGGTTTTCAACCTCTGGGTTGTGACCCTTGAAGCATCTAATGACCCTTTGACGGGGGTCACACAAGAGATCAGATATTTACATCATGATTCATAACAGTAACAAGGTTAAAGTTATGAAGCAGCTGTGAAAATCATTTTATGGTCGGGGGTCACCATAACATGAAGAACTGTATTAAATTATCACAGCATTAGGAAGGTTGAGAACCACTGCTCTGAGATTGTTCCTTCAACCCCTATGCTTCTGAATCTACCTCTCTATGGAAAGGCGTGGAACAGAAATATCTGTCCTAGTAGGCTTCAGCTATGTAATAAAGTAGACAATGAAATACTAAGTGTATTTTCTTCATAAAGAAATCTGGTATTCATTTGGGCAGAGGTGATGTTTATGAAGACTGTCACAAGAAAGCCAATTTCATAAATGCCCCTGACAAGACCATAAGCAAATCCATATTTTATTTTACCCAATGTCATGCAGCAATGATTTATAATCCAGTTTTCATGTCAGCTTGTATACATCACTAAGCTAAATTTTTAGCAAACCAAATCAACCCCATGATTGAAAAAGTACTTTACATAGTTGAATACAAAGGTGGTGAGAGTAAATTAGCATGTGATGTTTTTCCACTCTTTTGCACTAGAATGGCTAATTCTTAGCACAGTTGAATGCATTTCTCCAGTACAAACTAAGGGAGAAAAATCCATATTAAAGCCATTTCCCTTACTCTAAGAATTAAGCTCAT